TCAATAAATATATGAAAAAAATTTAGTCATCAGAGGGAAATTAAAAATCCAATGGCATTTTACATCTATCAAATTGGCAAAAATCTCATTAAAAAAAAGGCTTATATGGGTAAGTTATTTGGAATCAGGGACCCACAGAATGTTTAGAGAAATGCAAAGCACGATAACCTTTCTAGAATGCAATGTGGAGTCTATATTAAAACCCTTAAAAATATTCTTCTTAACCTTGACCTAGTAACCTCTACTTTTAGGGATCCATGTAAAGAAAATAAATGTAGATGTCAAAAATTTGTGAACAGAGAAGTTCTTTTGCAAAAAGTGAAAAAAATGGAAAAAATCTAAATGTTTAAAAATAAAGGAACTGTTGAGTGAATATAATGAATGAATAGATGAAAACATGTTAGCATTAATATGTATCAACAGAGTTAACATGCAAAATGTTTGCCATTTAAAAAACAGAAGAATATAAAACTACATTAAAATCCCAATTTTGTGAAGGATTTTCACATAAGCAAGCATACATAGCTTAAAGGAAATGTATCAGATGTTGATACAGATTAACCCTGATTCATGGTGTTATGGATTATCCTTTATTAAACATGCTTTGCCTGTTTTTTTTCTTCATATTTTATTGTCTTTTCTAAGTTTTCCCCAATGGCTATAGCTTTGTGGAAGAAAAAAGTCTTAAAAAAGAAAACAATAAGATTGATACTAAGCCCACCTACTTAATAAAGACCTTGAGGATTCATCTGTTTCTTTAACACAAGTCTTAATTATTCATATTTCCTAGCCCACAATCTGCCAGAAGATATAAAATTAGAAAGTAAAGTAGGTATAATAGAAGAAGTAAGTACAATGATCAGTAGGAATGAGCAATAGCTTTTAGCAAAGATAGAAGAAAAAAGGGAGAAGCAGATTACCCTGAAAGTAGACTTGTGTCTACACTGCTATAACCCATGAGGACAAAGCACATCAGTATGTAGTAACCATTACTAGTAACAAAGACACCAAAAGAAAAGGTACATTATATTTACTATCCACAAATACCACGTACACACACACACACACACACACACACACACACACACACATATGCATGCCCCTCCCTGAACATTATAAATACTGCAAGGGAAAAGTGAGAGCTTCAAGTTCCAGTTAATTGTACTACTGATTCTTATGTCACAAGTCACTGATCAGTAAATGGAAGTGAGAATATTAGCTGTTAATGATGATAACAAGATGTTCACAGATCTTCAAGCATTTCCCACTACAGGAGTTCTAGGATAAAACTAACAAAAGAAAGTGAAAAAATTATGCATGTTAACAGAATATATTAATATAAAAAGAAACTAGTAAGTATAAAACACAAATGTACTTTGTGTAATGTAAAAAGATAAAGAACTTTTAGTGTATAAGGCTGAAAGCAAGCATGCTAAATCATGTGACACTCAGAGTTTACCATTACCACTAATCATTTCCAAACTTTACCAGGTCCAGAGGAAAACAATCCAGAATACCCAGGGAGAAAAATGCACAAAATACATGTTTTCAACTATTCAAGTAGGAATTGTTACTTTTATTTTTTAAATACAAAGAAAAGTGTGGCTCGGTAATTTATCAAAAAGAGAATCTGCCTATTAATCATTATCACCACCACTCCCGTAGATCTGCCTCCTCCTATCCCACTAGTCACTACCCCTCCCCACCTCTCCACAGGTAACCCCTAGTTTGGCTTCTAATATCATCAATTAGTTTTGCTTTGCCTGTTTTTATACTTCATATAAATGGAATCATACAGTACCTACTCTTGGACTGGTATCTTTCACTCAGCATTATGTTTGCAAGATTCACCTATACTGTTGCCTGTAGCAAAAGCTCATTTATTTTCAATGCTGTACTGTATTTCATTGCATAAAAAACATAAGTTTTTAAAATCCCTTCTTTTCTGATGGACATTTGAGCTGTATTCAGTTTCTGGATATTAAGAATTGTGCTGTTATGAACAGATATACTGTATACATATATATTAGGAGTAGAAATGCCAGATCACAGTTTAACTTTAGTAGATACTTGGCAAACCATTTTCCAAAGACATTACACCAATTTACATTGCCATCAATAATATAAGGATTCCAGCTGTTTCATATCATTACAATAACAGTATTAACAGTCTTTTAACTTCTAGCCATGCTGGGATGTATCTAGAGGTATGTCGTGTTTATAATTTGCATTTTTCTAATAACCAGTGAAACTGAGTACCTTTTCGCATACTTCTTGGCCATTTTGATATCTTCCTTTGTGAAATACCTATTTAAATATTTTGCCCATTTTTCTACTCAGTTAAATTATTATTATTAGTTCCTTATCTGTCCTTTGTTGGTTATGTTATGAATATATAACAAGCTCATGATTTTAATATAATCATTAAACTTTTCTTTTATGATTATTAAAGAAATCTTTCCCTACTCCAAGGTCACCAAGATATTCTCCTATGTCACCTTCTGAAGATTTTCAAGCATTTCACATTTAAATTTGTAATCCATCTAGAATTAAATTTGATGTATAGCCGGGCGCGGTGGCTCACGCCTGTAATCCTAGCACTGTGGGAGGCCGAGGCGGGCAGATTGTTTGAGCTCAGGAGTTCGAGACCAGCCTGAGCAAGAGCGAGACCCCGTCTCTACTAAAAAAATAGAAAGAAATTATCTGGACAACTAAAAATATATAGAAAATATTAGCCGGGCATGGTGGCGCATGCCTGTAGTCCCAGCTACTCAGGAGCCTGAGGCAGTAGGATCGCTTGAGCCCAGGAGTTTGAGGTTGCTGTGAGCTAGGCTGACGCCATGGCACTCACTCTAGCCAGGGCAACAGAGTGAGACTCTGTCTCAAAAAAAAAAAAAAAATTGATGTATAGTATGAAACTAGAAGTCAAAATCTTTCCTTTTTTCCCCATATTGTTATTCAGTTGATCCAGTGCCATGTATTGAAAAGACTGCCCACCACCCTTCGGTGCTATCTTGTTATTAATCAAATGTTCACATACATGGAATTTCTGTTATGGCATTCTTTATTCT